TGTTGTTGGTTTGCGTGAGCGTACACTCTCCCCCCGAAGAACGCGAACTCGGTCTAGAGCTTTTTGACGATTAATCGGCGCACACTAATGCACCATTTAAATTGAAGGAGAGCGAGCAAGAGGGAAACAGATTAGTGGGAAAACAAACAATGCCTTCATTCCTGTGTGCTAGATAGAGACAGATGATTAATCGCCGGCGCCGGTGGTGTAGTGGTAAGCGTGACTGCTTTCTCACCCCAATGGGTCTGGGTTCAATCCCAGTCGAGGTCGGTGGGATTTTTCTGAGGCATAAAAATCTCTGGTCACGAAGTAAAACCGTTGGTCCCGGCCCATGTGTGTTGAATGGGTTCGATATCCTACGCAGGTGTGGAAGCTGCCTTCCTGCACATTCGATTGCCGTCAATGGATGGCAATCGATGTCCGTCGGTGATTGGCACTAGACTGCGGAACAGAGACCGACGTTAAATAAAAGAAAGAAGAAGAAGAAGATGATTAATCGTCAAAAAGGTCTCTACACGAATTCCATTTACGTTGGTCTCGAATGATTCCGTTTACGCGAGGAAATCGCGTAAATGGAGTACACGTAGTATATGGGATTTGACCTAATAGGGACCAACATGGAATATTTCGCGATACTGGACATATAGAAGGTTACTGCCTTGGGCAAAGTTGTTCAGCGGATCAAGACCTAATGGTTGGTGGACAGCATTATCACTTCTATCACAGACAAACAGACGTAACTCTTTGAAAAAGTTATCCTTGAAAACATAGTATCTCAAAACATAGAACCTCAGTACCGACATCTCTCGGGCTTCTCGCGGAAAACAAGCTTGCTCGCTAACTCGCAAACAATATTGCATTAAAGTTCTATAGAATGTATAGAAACGTCAAAGTGATCCGATGCCAGCGCTGCGGCGAGTAGTTCGCGGAGCTCATAATATTCAAATCAACCGTTAAATGCGTGCACGAAGATACACAATGAAGAGTTACGTCTGTATGTCTGTGCTTCTATCATTCCTTCGTAATTTTCACCCAGCAGTATTTTTAGTTTGCGTGTAGATAGTTGAAATTTAAATAACAATCATATTTGGTATGGTTATTAAAAATAATCAATTATAATTGTAATGATCCTATGAACAACTTTCCCGAAGACAGCAACTTCCTAGATGGCAAGGATTTCACGATATTACATAAAAAAGAAATCACAAATTTAACCCTACTTGCGCCGCGTAGTGAGAGAATGCCAAACTTCTATCCATCCCTGGTCCACTGAAGACAACAACTTCCTAGATGGAAAGGATTTCAAGATATGACACAAACACGGAAATCACAAATTCAAGTACACTAGCACCGCGTAGTGAGAAAATTTTGAACTTCTGTCCAATAACCGTTAGGACTCGATCCAATAAACAACTTTTTCCAAGACAGCAACTCCCTAGATGGCAAGGATTTCAAGATTTTACGTAAAATCACCAATTCGCACTAGCGCCACGTTGTGAGAAAATACCGAATTTCTGTCCACCAACTATTAAGTCATGATCCACTAAACAACTTTGCCCAAGAAAGCAACTTCCCAGATGGCAAGGATTTCAAGATATCGACAAAAACAACGAAATCACTATTATATGTACACTAGCGCCGCGTAGTGAAAAATAAATTCCAAACTTCTGTCCACCAACCGTGAGGTCTTGGTCCACTGAAAAACTTTGCCGAAGACAACACTTTCCTAGATGGAAATAATTTCAGGATATGACATAAACATGTCCTCCAACGATAAGGTTTTGATCCAATGAACAACTTCGCCCAAGAAAGCAACTTCCTAGATGACAAGGATTTCAAGATATCACAAAAACAAGGAAATCATTAATTCATGCAAACTAGCGCTGCGTAGTGAGAAAATTCCGAACTTCTATCCACCAACCTTTAGGTCTTGATCCACTGAACAACTTTGCGCAAGAAAGCAACTTCCTGGATGGCAAGGATTTCAAGATATCGGCAAAAACAATGAAATCACTAATTCATGCAAACTAGCACCGCGTAGTGAGAAAATTCCGAACTTCTATCCACCAACCTTTAGGTCTTGATCCACTGAACAACTTTGCCCAAGACAGTAACCTTCTATATGTCCAGTATCGCGAGATATTCCATGTTGGTCCCATTAGGTCAAATCCCATATGCTACGTGTACTCCATTTCCGCGAATTCGATTCACGCTGTACGTATTAAGGCCCAAGCGCAATGATAGCGGAAGCGGAACGGCAACGGCAGCTGTCAAACTTTCCGTTTCCGTTCCGCTTCCGTCCACATTGCGTTTGGGCCTTTACTCGCGCTCTTCGGGGGGAGAGTGTACTGCGGTTCGCGTGTTTACAAATGCTTTTGTGCCATTATCAAATGTTACGCCTGATATTGCTTTCGTTGACAGGTGAAGTGAAATTGAAGAGCATTTTCCAAGATCTGATCAAGGAGTTTGCGATTATTTGTCTGGATGAAATTCGGAAGTTCAACAACGCGAGAATTGAGTGTACCAGATCCGGTTGAAGCAGTACATTGACAAGCTAGTGATGAAACATGGCATGGATCAAGCCAAGACAGCAAAGCCACCGATGGACTCGGGGTATTTGAAGTCGCAGAAAACTAGTTACTCGATGATGCGACTAGGTACAGAAGTTTGATGGGTGGATTGCTGTATCTGTCAGTCATAGCTCGATCGGATACTGCAGCTGTGCGATTCTCGGAAGAAAGTTCTCCGCACCGAGCGAGGTGGATTGGACCGCTGCTGAGCGCGTATTGCACTACTTGAAAGCGACGAGGGATAGCTACCTACAACTGGGCGGAGATGCTAGCCAGCCGTTAGTCGGTATATTCGGACGCTGATTGGGCCGGAGATCCCGAGAGTTCATTCATGAATTATGCGAAAACAAGGAGATCAAGCTGGATTTTTGCCAGTTGGAGAGTAGCATCGCCCTTGGGGAATACGCCTTTTTAATAGAATCTAAGCGATCGATTCAACCTCTGGTGGTGAATATGAGAACGTCAAAACGAGTGTTGTGAGCAGAGAGGGCAGAAAGAGAGCCGTGAAACATTGGAAGTGCAACACTTTATCACTTTTCCTGATAAATTCGTTCATCTGAGATGCTCTAAATCTTGATATATAGCTTAAAAATTTAATTCTGTATCATTTTTTAAGGATTCTGCTAGTGTTCAGGAATATTTTTGTTGAAAAAAATGCAAAATTCCAATAGTGCCTTAGTGGTAATGATCTTCCGGATTTCTCGAGGGGGACGACTCTATCTACGATGCAGGAAATATTGTGTTTTGCTGTGGCTAGCTGCGCGTACGCTGAGTAGATAGAAAGAAGATTTATCACGATTTTGAAGATTTCCTGCAAAAAGATGATGTGTGATGCAAGTAGATGCGAGAAATGAAAGAAGATTTTCGAAGATTTATTCGCTAGTGTGAGAATTTTTGAGCATCTAGAATTGAGATTTAGATGTGTCGCCCCCCTCGGGATTTCTTGTGTGTGCATAATTTAGGTACAAATCAGCTCAGATGTGTGGAAAATCTTAAAATAAGACAATTACTGATGGAAATTGGCAAGATGTTCAATTAAAAATGCTTTAATTTACGTTGCGAAAATTCCTTCTTCTGACGTAAACAAGCGGTTTGGTTGACGTTTCCTCTCGAACTCGCGTGCTGCCCTTTACGTTGGTGGTGCATTAAAAAGGCCTATTCTCAACTGGTTCTTGCAAACGTTCCAAGTGATTCTCAATTTCAAATGCCCAGCTAGAGATTATGCCAAAATTATAAGAGCAATGACAGATGACCAGCTGGAAATGAATGATAGATGTTAAAAGATCGTTTCCGAGAGATTTTGCGGAAATTCATAGCTTTTACGGATGAAATTCGTTAAGCATTCCACTTGAATTATCAGGAAATTGTCTTCGAAAACGTCTTCAGAATTTCCAAAATATATTTCAGAAGCAATTCTAGGGGAAACTTGGAGAAGATGTTGTAGAACGAATATTATGAAATTCCATGAGATTTCGCTTGAATTTTTTTTGAAGATAACCCAGTAATGTATTTAGAAAATACCGAGAGGGCCGACACTATCGAAACTTCAGGGAATATTTTGTTTTGTTGTCGTTGAAGATTCTGTAGATTTCCCCGCGAAAAGATGGATTCAGATGCATGAAAATGAAACAAATATTTTTCGTTGGTTGATTCGCTAGCGTCAGATTTTCAGGCATGTTTGAATTGAGATTTATATGTGTCGTACCTTTAGAAAATTGCTGTACAATCCATAAGTAATACAAACAATCTGACACTCGCGTCGATGACAAATTACAAGAATTTTCAGAACTGTTCCCTTTTAGCGCAATTCAGTGCTAACATTTGAAAACGGCGCAAAAGCCATTTGTAAACAAATGGTTTGTGGGCCCTTTACTCGCTACCCGAAGAACGCCCACGCAAACCAACAGCATCGTCAGGAAGGGGAAAATTTCCCCTACCCGATGTTGCTGTTGTGTCGCGTGGGTGTACTTCAAGTAGTGAGTAAAGGGCCCACAAACCATTTGTTTACAAATGGCTTTTGTGCCGTTTTCAAATGTTAGCACTGAATTCTTCCTTTATTCCCTTCCACCCATGCAGCTACCACTGTCATACTTGTATCTCGCAAGCGAAGCAGAAACTTCCGATTACTCACTCACACACACACACACACAATCAGAACGACACAATACCCGATTACTGCCTGAAGAATGCTGTCGAGTCAAAGCTTCACCTGTAGTGACAGAAGAATAGCGAACAATTTATCCACACCGCATTCGCTTCTACACCCTCCCCTTCCCTACTTCCAAGTCTGCACAGTGCACAACTCTCGAATCGGAAATCATTATGTCTCTCATCAGTTTTAACGCTGCATTTATTTTTCGAACAGTTATACCAGTTCATTGAATGAGCTCGCCCACTCCCCCCACCCCACCCACTTTTCTCAACGTCTATGTCAAAGGGCGCTCGTCAAATCGAACAAAGCAAGTCTCGTCGATCGCAGCAGGGGCAGGGAGGAAAAGTGAATCCGATCTCGCTTTGGTGCCAGGAGGAAGAAAAGTGACACTTGTAGGTACCTATTGTTGTGGAGATTTTCTTTTGCAATCGGCAATTTTCGGAAGTGCCACATCGAGGTGGATGAGTGTAATCAAGCACTGTTCGATAGGCAGAGACGAGTGCGTGGCTTTTGTGACGGTGGTGGCAGTGGCGGCGAATCAACAAGCGGAGGACAGCTCCCGGGGGTGAGTGTTTTTTTTTCTTCTGCTGTGTCATTAGTTTAGTTTCATTATATCTCGCAAGAAAATTGCCGTAGCAATGGAAAGAAACACAAAACGAAAAGTGTATGTGTCTTTTCTAGAAAGCGAGGTTTCTAGAAAGGAGCAGCTGCCTTGAACGCGTATCCCGGCGCCGAGCCGGGACCGCAGAGAGTGTTGTGTGTTTTTGTTTTCATCGAGATTTCATAGAGTGGTGTTCATGTTTGTGTCAGAGTGTGTGTGTGTGTGTGTGCTTAGCTTAAGGCATCGGTTGGTGATTCAGTAGATTGTTGCTGCCGGAGTTGCTGTTGCTGCTGCTGCTGGAGATGCTGTTGTTGGGGCGACGCTTCGGAGGGGATCCCAGGCGGCGATCGGTTATCGCCACGAATGGAAGTCGCTGGCGCTTTAAGCGACCGTATCCGTTTCCCACGGGCTGTGGGGAAGCCACCCGGTGGTAAACGAACTGGCCAGCTCGGGAGGAAAGTTTGTAGGGATGATCGGCAGCCATTGTCGGATGCCCGTAGGCATGGCCATCATCCATGTGCTTCTTGTCGTAGATGATGTGGATTCCTTCGCCCGGAAGTGAATTCGAGTGTGCGGTTGAAGATTGTATCGTTTCCTGGATGTAGTTCCGCTGCAGTCCAAGATTATTCGGGCTGGGGCGCTGTTCTTCAAAGAGGTCTTCCAGGGGATTTTTCCTTCGGTTATACTTCCTTTCGTGATGACGTTGGCCGTACTCCGACATCGGAGCAATGGTTCCCTCCAACAAATCAATCAACTGCTGAGTCCGACGATTGTACTTCTTTATGAACGGTGGCACATGGTCCTGCTGTTGGTCCTTGTTCAGGGAGTTTATAACCTTATCGAAATAGGGCCACTGCTCGCGGCTGGTGGAGTGGCCATCGAGATGTGCCTTAATGTCTTCTTTTGTCTCCAGTTTGTTGGTGCTTTGATAGTATCGAACCTGGCCTTGGTTGGTTACCTTGGTCATCGGTGGCTCTTGTATTTGCTTCCAACGATCACGTTCCCGTTCGAGCATTTTTTGCCGAGAGTAGTGATGGTGATGATGCTGATACATCGGATGGTAGTATCCGCCTCGATGGTGATGGCTGTGCTTGAAGTTTTTGTGCTTCTTGTACAGTTTCAACCGATAGGATTTGGCTTTCTTCTGCATCTGTTCGAAAATGTCATCATTGCTTACATCTTCCCCTCCACCTCCGTCAACCCCGTCATCATTTCCGGTACCATCCGGTTTCAACGTCGACAGGCCACTATCTGTTAACCGAAAGCGGCATCCAGCCAAGGAAGAGAAGGAAAGAAAGCATAGAAGAAAACAAGTACAGGCAGCAAGTAAAAGAGACAAAACTTACCATCTATCAATTTGGTGCCTTTCTCGTCGATAATCCCGTTCGACAGCAGATAGCCACCGTCGATGGAGTTGAGGAAATCGATACTGCTTGCCATCAGTGGACTCCCACCAGCCGGCTGTTGGCTTCGGTTCACTGGCTCAAGACTGGAACCACTCGGCAGATATTTGCTCTTTTCCACCTCGTTATCCGCCTCCTCCTCCTCTGGCTGAGCTTCCTCCGGGGGTGGCAACTGCTCGTCCAGATCCAAACCCCAAGGATCTTCCGGCAGCTGTTGCTTTCCCTGCATCCGTCGATGCTGTTGCTGCTGCTGGTGCGACGAGTGCCGAGGATTAAGAAATTCATTAAACGGATTCAGTTCATTTGCATTCTCGGATCCACCGCCACGGCCTCCACCACCAGCAGCATTATCCACCGAGTTGATGAGATTGTTGGAAAAGTTATAAATATCCGCTTCGTCCGGTGCTAGTGCAATGAAATTTTCCAATTCACCGTCGTCGCCGCCGCCGCCTCCTCCGGTGGGACTTTCGCCGTCGCCATTTTCCCGTCGATGGCGATGTTTCGATTGCTGGAAATGGACGGGAAGCAGAAAAGCGTAAATTAGAATGGGATCACCACAAATGGCAGCCAGCACGGCAACTATTAACTATCTAATGGAAATTGAGTTTTAATTATTTTCCCCATCTTTTTAAATACTGGAACATGGTCATTGTTGCAGGTGCGATCCGCGTGAAATCAAAATTAAGCGTCGCTTCAGTTGATTGTTCATTACGCTTCGAGGGGTATCAATTTGCTCGATTTGGAGAAATGTTTAATTAATTGTTTTATGGTGTCCTTTCCCGCGTAAAATCATTCGGCAAATCCATTGAGATGGTAAGATAATGCAAATTTACATTTGCGTCTAGAGTGTTATTTGAAAAAGGTCGTTGTTAATTATTGAGAATAGTCAAGATTTTGAGGAAGTTTAGATATGTCGTTGAACCTTAATCAGTTCGAGTTTTCGAATATTTCTTTCTAGGTCCGAGAGCTGTGAGACGCAAACTAAAAAAACGTTTCAAGTGGCTACAATTCTCTGCGCGCACGAGTTTGAAGCTCTGCAAACCAACACCAGCAAAACATTTCCGGAACTCACGGATGTTCCGTTTATTTAGAGAAGTTCCAAAAACTTCAAGCAGATAACTTTGGGAAAGTTTCATGAACTTCGAAAATTTCTGGAACTTCTGTGACATTTTGAGAAGTTTTGAGAGCATCAGTGAGATCCAGAGAACTTTGGTAAAATTCCACGAACTTCAAGCAAGTACCATAAACATGAAGATAGGTCCGAAATTTTTTGCGAAGTCCAGAGAACTTCAGCGATGATCCGAGATCTTCAGGGAAGTTCATAGAACTCCAGGATAGTTTAGAGAAATTCCGGGCAGTTCTAAGAGCTTCAGGTCACTTTAAAGGTAGGTCACCTTTTGATTTGTTCTATTTTTTTAATTGACATTATATTATTATACGAATCACTAGTAAGAAACAAATTAGCCAAATGTTAAAAATCTATAATAAAAAAAATGAATCAGTCAGCTGGGCTAGGGAGGGGCCACCAGGGCACCTGATTGGAGATGGAGAGAGTGGAAATTTCAACTCCATGACTTTAACATTTCGTGAATGGAGGGCGGGCTCTTCTCCCCACTCATTGGGACATACTCCTGGGTGATGGCCTGTTTTTGGACCGGTTTCTATGATCCTGTTCTTGGAAGGAGATTCTCATTTATCCCGTGGATGCACGTGGGTGATGTTGCCCACGGATTCACCAAAACCGTTTTCGGCCCTTCATACAATGACCGGTTGAGTACAATTAGAGGTTATTAAACTTTATCAAGTCGAACAGCGAGGATAGTTCACAGGCTACCGACAGTTGCTACGTCTATCATATCATCATCATTACTTTCGGGAACATCTGTAACGTTGTTATGGGTTCAGGGGTTCAACTATTATTTTTCTATTAATGTTTACCCGTTCGTTCATACTACCCATACAAGTGAAGATAAGTTTCATGAAAGCTTTGGATGTCCATGAATTTTCAGAGCATGCTGTCAGTTTCTAGCAGTACGGAATCGTAAGTTTGAAGTCGCCATGTCAGCAGACGTAAAAAAGATGTATCGACAGGTACTGTTACACTCGAAGGCTACTCCACTGCAGAAAATTAAGTACCGTTTCAGTCCCACTGACCCTCTGCAATCCTATGAACTGCTCACCGTCACATATGGGTTAGGTCCATCGTCATTCCTGGCCACCCGAACCCTGCAGCAGATCGCTGACGACGAAGGGCACTCGTACCCATTAGCCGCCCCAGTAGTAAACAAATCCTTTTACGTGGATGACTTCCTAGGTGGTGCTAATTCCGTTGCTGAAGCAATACAATTGCGTGAAGAGCTCACGGAGATGCTAGGCAAAGGAGGATTTCCATTACGGAAGTGGACATCGAACAAACTCGAGGTTCTCCAAGGACTACCAGCCGACCAGATAGGGACTCAGTCAACCCTCAGGTTTGACCCAGGTGAAACAGTGAAGACACTCGGAATCATGTGGGAGCCTGCATCAGACCGGTTTCGGTTTAATTTCCGAGTTCATCAAGTCATCCAGGTGGCGACAAAACGTTCGATCCTATCCGGAATTTCCCAGCTTTTCGACCCGCTAGGATTGATTGCACCTACACTGGAGTCGCTTTTTACGCGGTTTTTTTTTACACGGTTTTTTTTACGCGGTTTTTTTTTTACGCGGATTTCGGAATTTACGCGGTTTTTTTTTACGCGGATTCCGGAATTTACGTGGTTTTTTTTACGCGGTTTTTTTTTACGCGGGACGTATCACCCGCGTAAAAAGCGACTCCAGTGTATTGTCGTCAAGGGGAAAATGTTGATTCAAAAGCTATGGTTGGCATCGTGTTCCTGGGATTAAGAGGTTCCTGATTCAATCAAGCAAAAATGGCAAGATTTGTACCAGCAGCTGCCCAACAATTTTCGTATCGACAGATACGCATTTCTACCAAACTCCACCGTCCAGCTACATTCGTTTGCAGACGCTTCCGAAGCTGCTTATGGGGCATGCATCTATGCCCGCAGTATGGATACCGAAGGTAACGTACGAATCCAGCTTCTGGCCGCAAAATCTCGTGTTGCTCCCTTGAAGAGGCTATCTATTCCCAGGCTCGAGCTATGTGCTGCAGTCATCGCATCGCAACTCCATACCCGAATCGTAGAAGCCTTGCAGATGGACATCGATGCATCCTTCTTTTGGTCCGATTCTACGGTGACACTGCAGTGGCTGACTTCCCCTCCAAGTTCGTGGAAAACTTTTGTCGCCAATCGGGTGTCAGAAGTGCAAACCCTAACGCGTGGATCCAGCTGGAATCACGTATCAGGATTCGAGAAGAACAAATTATGGAAGCACGGTCCGGACTGGTTGCAACGTCCGAAACTAGAATGGCCGATTCCGAGTCACATCGAAGTTTCTGAAGCAGAAGATGAGCGCAAGGGTGTAGTGGTCGCCGTTACAAGAGCTGCACCGAGATACAATCCGCTTTTCTTACGGTACTCCTATTTTTCTCGACTAACTCGAATCGTTTCTTACTGCCAAAAGTTCGTCCACAATCTACGCACCAACGCTAGAACTCAACCGGTCTCCACAGATCCTGTTTAACTCCAGTCGCTATCAGTCAAGCAGCTATCCCAATCTAGAACTTTGCTAGCTCAGTTGGCCCAAGCCGATTGTTTTCAAAACGAGCTGCGAGACCTCAAGCAAGGACGACATTTGGACAAACATTCCTCCATTAGGCTTTTGAGTCCATTCATTGACACATTGGGGGTTCCCAGAGTGGGTGGGGGGGGGGGCGGTTAAAACTATCAGAACAGCCATACCTAACCAAGCACCCAGCCCTGCTTCCCAGTTTCCATCCTCTTGCTAAGCTAAGAGCCAAATCCATCCACTACAAACTCATTCACGATGGCGGCCACTTGACGCTGTCGGTCATGCGCAGGCATGGAAAATCATTTGCATTCATTTCATACATTCATTTACATTCATTTGCCTCTAACTTTTTTCATCAACAGCATTTCGCAAAATGATGTATGAAGCTTTTGTAGGTTTTGTTATTAGCTACAACATTTGCTCATCACTAGAGCGGGCAAAACTTATTACTGTTTTTCAGTGAATGTAAAATACATTCACTGAAAAACAGTAGTGGCTTCTGTTCACCCTGGTGCGTCGTGCATAAGAGATACGAATTTGACTTGTTAACAAAAGTTGTAGCTAATAACAAAACCTACAAAAGTTCTTTACATCATTTTGCGAAATGCTGTTGAAGAAAAAGGTTAGAGGCAAATGAATGTAAATGAATGCACGAAATGAATGCCAATGATTTTCCATGCCTGGTCATGCGTGAGGAATACTGGTCAATTAATGGACGACGACTGGTGTGAAACATCATCCGAAACTGTTTCCAATGCGCCCGAGCCAATCCCGTTCCGGCATGCCAGCAAATAGGGCAGCTGCCAGCCCAGCGAATCACTGTCAGCAGACCATTTGACATCACAGGAGTTGACTATGCTGGACCAGTCTACCTGAAGGCAATCCACAAACGTGCAACACCTACGAATCTGTCTGTTCGTGTGCTTCGTGACCAAGGCGGTCCATCTGGAGCTGGTGAGCGACCTCTCTACGCCGGCATTCATCACTGTGCTTAGACGCTTCGTCGCTCGTCGGTGACGTCCCAGTCATCTGCATTCCGATAACGGGAAGAATTTCATCGGAGCCAAGAACGAGCTGCATCAATTGTTCAAGATGTTGTCCAACGAAACCGAGAACGATAAAATCGCTACATTCTGCGCCGAAGAAACGATTGTCTGGCACTTGAACCCACCGAAAGCGCCTCATTTTGGAGGGCTCTGGGAGGCCGATGCATGCAGTGTCAAGTCCCAACGTTGCCAAAGTTCATCTCTCTCGTCTCAACCACTACCAGAAACTGCAACAACTTTCTCAGCGGTTCTGGCATTACTGGAGAACTGAGTACCTGCAAGAGCTCCAGAAGGACACGCGGATATGCCACCCCAACACCGAAATCCAGCCAGGTAGGCTAGTGGTGCTTGTCAATGAGTTTCAGCATCCTGTTCGCTGGCCTCTCGCCCGCATTGAAGCTGTGCATCCTGGGAAGGACAATCACGGGTGTGTGGTCACTTTGCGGACGTCCAAGGGCATCTTCAAACGGCCAATAACGAAGGTCTGCCTTTTGAAAACGGACTCATCGGAAACAACAAACACAACGAACTCATTGGAGCCAATAATATCAACAAACACAACGGACCTACAACACCAACCAACAGACGATCACGAACTACATAACGTAGACGATCACGAGCAGCCAAACAGTATCCGGGTAAACAGCTAGAAGTGGATCAACAACTGCTTTGCTGCCGAATCAAGAAAAAAGTGAAATTTATTGTATTGTTTTCTATTGTTAATTTGAACTTTGTATTGATTTTGAAATTCATAGATTTCAAAGGTGGCGGCGATGTTGCAGTTCGATGT